GTTCAAAGCCAGCCCGGGCAGGAGAGACCATGAGACTCCTATCTCCAATAAACCACCAGAAAACCGGAAGTGGCGCTGTAGCTCAAGTGGTAGAGCACTAGCCTGGAGCTGAAGAGCTGAGGGACAGCGCCCAGACCCAGAGTTCAAGCCCCATGACCGAGAAAAACAAAAACAAACAAATCCCAGTCATGTCCAAAAAGAAATCAGGAGAGAGGGGGCCGTGTCACTCGGAACCCACGTGTCCCAGGGCCTGCGGGTGGGCTGATGACCCCAGCCTCAAAGGCGACAGAGGGTCTGGCAGGTCGGGGGGCAGCCCTTAGGGCTCAGCACCCTCACGACGCCCAGTGGGAAGCAGTCACACAAACTTCAGCCTTTCCCGGAGCAGCTGCTTTCTGCTTGAAATGAGACTGACCGGGGTCCCCGAGTGCAAAGCAGAGCTGAGGGCACAGGGCCTCTGCAGCAGCTGGGGGGTGGGCAAATGGGGGTGCTCAGAAAGGAAGGGAGGCCCCCCCCGGCTGGTGACAGCTGTGGCGGAGCCAGCAAGGACGGGGTGAGACAGGCAGGCTCGTGTCTATAATTTAGATCCCCCACACATCCCAAGAGCCACCAGCCTGGCATGCACGGCAGGGGGTCCCCATGACTGCTGGCCCCCACTTCCCACTACTCCTTGTGGCTCCGCTCCCTCCCCAGACCGCCCCCCCCCCCAGCTGGGCAGAAGCTGATGGCAGCTTAATCCATGCCCAGCTCCACACCCGGCAAGGCTGGGACTGGGAACCAGCTACACAGCGCCATACAAGGACCCAGCGTCTGAGCCTCACAGAGCCCACCCACATGAGGGCCATGGAGGGGCCCCTCCCTTCCCCCACCACTTTCACCCTCCCTCCCTCCTTTTTCCCTCCCCAGGGCCTCTCTAACCTTCCCTGTGCTTCTAAAAAAATCTAAGGCCCCTTACCGTAATAACCACCTGCCCGCCCTCCACGCGGCCCTGGCGCGATGCTCGCCCCTCTCCCAGGTTCTGAACTGGAGAAGGAGCCCCGAGCCGGATGGTGAAGAAACCCTGTCACCCACCCAAGTCACCACCCTCAGTCCTCTCTCCTCTTACCTGCCAGCTCACCAAGACTCAGCCATCCCCAGAGAAAAGATATCCTGAAAGCCACACTGCCCTGGGTCCCCATACAGCCCTGGCCATGGTCCTGGCCACCCATCTCCCCCTCCCCAACCCAGCCATCAGAACACAGTGGCATGGTGGCATGATGGGTAATACCGGGGAGGTAGAGTCAGGAGGGTCTGACCTGCCACCATGACATGCGCCAACCCAGCCTCTGCACTGGCAGCCTCGGACAAAGTCCCACTGGAGGCCCCCTCCGGAGGCCGCCCTTCCCCAAGGCCACCCGCACCAAATGTCAGGAAACAAGGATTAAGCATAAGCGTGGAAACATCTAAAACGGGGCGCTTGTGCTGGGCACTGATGCTCACACTTGTTATCCTAGTGACTCGGGAGGCTGAGATTTGAGGATCGTGGTTCAAAACCAGCCCGAGTAGGAAAAATGCCTGAGACTTATCTCCAATGAACCCCCAAAAGCTGGAAGTGGAACTGCGGCTCAAGTGATAGACACTAGCCTTGAGCAAAAAGCTCAGAGACAGCACCCATACCTTGAATTCAAGCACCAGGACCCACACGGGGGGGGGGGGAGAAGGGGAGGGGAGAGGGTGGGCACAGGAGGAAAGGAGCAGCTTGCAGTATGTTGCAGGACTTTCCAGAACCTCCTATAAACAATGCCGATGATCAGCACTGCGATGCTCCCCACGGGGTGGGGCTACACATGAGGAGCACTGGGGATTCGCACAACACAGAGCCAGCTGCAGGCCTTCACGCTATCCCGTCTCCTCCTCCCCCCCTGGCCCCAAGCGCCCAAGTGCCTTGGCCCCAGTTCCACCCTCCAGCCTCATCTGCCCTCTGCCTGCGTAGCCTGCTGCCTGAGCTACCGGACGGACGGGAAGGGAAGCCATGCACCCTCTCTCGGGAGTTCAGGTCACCCCTGGGACCCACAGGCCCCAGAGGACGGCATGGAGATGCCCCACACCCCAGGCAGCTTTCTGGGCCCTTCCTCTCCCCAGAAGGGCTCAAAGGCGGAAATGGAGCCCCTCCCCAGCTTCCAGGAGGCCCAGGTCTGCCCCTGGGGGCTCTGCAGCCCTGCGCCCCCCCCCCCACCAGGGCACTCAGCACTCTTCCAGAACCAGGCAGAACCGAGAAGCCCCTCCCCTCCCCTGTCTCCCACCCCAGGACAAGGCTCCTGCCTGGCACACAGCCAGGAGCGGTGGCAGGGACAGTGGCAGGGATGGGCAGTCCTTACCCACAAGAGAACAGAGCCAGCTCCCCATGGAGAAGCCTGCGCCGGCTCCCGGGCAGCTCTGGCCACCTAGTCCCCACCCCCGGATCAATGGTGGCCCAGGATGGGCGTCCAGAGGCCGCCCTGCCCCCAGCACGCCACACCCTGCCACACAGCCCAGCAAGGCCGGGCCTGACCTCTCCATCCTGCACCATTAGTTTCAGATGTGGTCAGGGAGGAGCGCGCACAGGAGCTGCCCTTGAATGTGACCTTGGCCACTGCTGGGGGAAGCCGGGGCCGGCCTGGTCCTGCACCAGGTCGCACTGTGTCCTAGACAAGTCATTTCAAATGATGCCAGCTGGGCAGTGACGGAGCCCTGGCACAGGCACCTGGGCTCAGGACCAGCACAGGACAGAGGCACCCTGCATGAGGGGTCCTAACACCTCTGGAGTCCCCAATACCAGGAACTTTTGGGGACAAGGTGACCCACTAGGGACAGCACTGGCTCTTCCTGTCACCCACCTGCCTGGAGTGGGCCACGTGTGCAGAACTGGGCCTGGGACAGAACACAGGTGGCATCTCTGGACTCTGCTCAGGCCTGGCCTCAGGGCAACCCTGCCGCTCCCTGACTTGGTGCTTCTAAGCCAGCTCAGCTGCAGTGCTCAGCTCTGCTACTGAAAATGGACAGAAGAGCTGGGCACTGGTGCTGTAATCCCAGCTATTCTGGAGGCTGAGATCTGAGGATGGAGGTTCAGAGCAGCTGGGACACGAAAGTCCATAAATGCCAGGCGCTGGTGGCTCACGTCTGTAATCCTAGCTACTTGGTAGGCTGAAATCTGAGGATTGCAGGTCAAAGCCAGCCCAGGCAGGAAAGTCTGTGAGATTCTTATCTCCAATGATCCTCCAGAAAACAGGATGTGGCGCTGTGGCTGAAGTGGTAGAGCACTAACCTTGAGCTGAAGAGCTGAGGGACAGCGCTCAGGCCCAGAGTTCAAGCTCCACGACCGACAAAAAAAAAAAAAGTCCATAAGACTTATCTCCACCAAAAAGCCACCAGTTAGAGCTGGGAGTCAACTGGTAACTGGTAGAGCACTAGACTTTAGCAAAAAAAAAAAAGTTCAAGGACAGCACCCAGGCCCTGAATTGAAGCCCCAGGACCAGGATATACAGGCATGTGCAAACATACACATCACAGAACCAAAGATGACTGTGCCTGCCGGAAGGAATAGGATCACACACAACTGCACCCCTGCAGCAAGCTTCCCCAGTCTTAAATAAGAACAAAATACAGCACGGTAGTGTACACCTGCAATCCCAGCGCCCCAGAGGCTGTGGCTGGAGGATGCAGAGCTGGAGGCCAGCCTGGACTATATCACAAGGCCCGACACCAAAAACACCGACCCTTCCAAGGAGAGCTCCCAGGGAACGAGCGGTCCCCACCATTCTTCAGAAGCAGCCTCCTCCCCCAAGCCCCTCAGCCCTACACACCTTCCTTGGAGCCCGTGGTTGCTGCAGATGGCGAGGCAGAGGAGGCCGAGCCCGTAGAGGTCCTGCCCATGGGGCTGGAGTGCTTCCCCCCCCGGCCGGGGGGCTTCAGGCCGCTGGGCTTCTGCATGGCTCCACGTGTGGAGATGGGGCGGGCACCACTCACGTTCTCTCCACCATCTTGTCACCTATGGACAGAGGGCAGGACAGGTGACGTAACGTCACCACATGCAGGGCCACCAACCCAGGTCATGGCCGTGGCGCCTCACACCACCCAGAATCTTCCAGAACCCTCCAGAACACCACCCCCACGCAGCAGGGGACAGTTGTCACTTTTTATTTATTTTGTGCCAGTACTGGAGCTTGAACTCCGGGCCTGGGCACTGTCCCTCAGCTCTTCAGCTCAAGGCGAGCACTCTACCACTTGAGCCACAGTGCCACTTCTGGCTTTTTCTGCGTATGTGGTGCTGAGGAATCAAACCCAGGGCCTCACGCATGCAAGGCAAGCGCTCTATCACTGAGCCACCTTCCCAGCCCGGATCTCAGCTACTTGAGAGGATCAAGGTTCAACAACAGACTGGGTAAAAAGTTAGCAAAACCCCATCTCGATCAATAGCTGAGTACAGTAGAGCAAGCTTGTCATCCCAACTATGCAGGAAGCACAGGGAGGAAGTCTGTGTCCAGGCTAGCCTAGGCAACACAAAATTCCATTTGAAAAAATAAAATGATGGGCACCAGTGGCTCACACCTATAATCCTAGCTAGTCAGGAGGCTGAGATCTGAGGATCACGGTTCAAAGCCAGCCCTGGGCAGAAAAGTCCGAGAGATTATCTCCAATGAACCACCAGAAAACCAGAAGTGGCACTGTGACTCAAGTGATAGAGTGCTAGAGCTGAGGGACAGTGCCCAGGCCCAGAGTTCAAGCCCCACAACCAACCAAAAAAAATAACTAAAGCAAGACAGGAGGTATGGCTCAAGCAGTAGAGCACCCGCAGAGCAAGTTCAGTCAACCCCCAGGAATGCCAAAAAATAAATAATGAAATAAAGTCCTTCCCACTTGCACCCTTTCAACCTTGGAATCACAGACACCCTTAAGTGTTTTTGTTGTTGTTTTGTTTCGTTTTGGCCAGTCCTGGGACCGAACTTGGGGCCTGGGTGCTGTCCTTGGGCTTCTTTTTGCTCAAAGTGAGTCCTCTACTGCTTGAGTCCCAGCGCCACTCCTAGTTTTTTTCTGAGCAGAGATGAGTGTCTCGTGGCCTTTCCTGCCCAGGCTGGCTTCAAACCACAATCCTCAGTTCTCAGCCTCCTGAGCAGCTAGGATTATAGACATGAGCCACTGGTACACTGGTACCTGACAAGGCTATAAGTTTTCAGTAAAGAAAGTCGGTTTTGTTTTTTGTTGATTGGTTGGCGGTGGTGCTGGGGTGAAACCCAGGGCCCGGCACATGCTAGGCAAGCACTCTGCCACAGGGCTCTTCCCCTAAGGCTCTTCCCCTAAGGCGGGCGATTCTGGGCACCACAGATGGGCTGGCAGGGGCCCAGGGGTGGATGGCCCCCTCTCCTGCCTCTGGCTTGGGAATCACAAGCACTTCTTATGTCAGTTCCAGTGCAGGACCCAGCTGTAGCAGGACCCAGCCTCTGCCCAGGGAGGGGACTCAGCCTGGACCCCAGGGAGACCCTACTGGGTGCCAGGCCTTGCACGAATGGGGGGCCCATTTGTCCTGGGTCCCCTGCTGAGGCCACCAACCTCACAGGACATCAAAGCTCAGAAAATAGCCACCAGTGGCTCACACCTGAAATCCCAGCTACTCAGCAGGCTAGGATCTGATGATTGTGGTTCAAAGCCAGCCTGGGCAAGAAAGTCAATGAGACTTTTTTTTTTCTTAAATCTTTTCTTTCTTGGCTCTGGGGATGGAACACAGGACGCTGCACTTTCTAGCAAAGCACTTTGCACTGAGCTACCTCCCAGCCCCTGGAAGACTCTTCTCTCCAATAAACCAGCAAAAAGCCAGAAGGAGAGCTGTGGTTCAAATGGAAGAGTGCCAACCTGGAGCTAAAAAAGCTCAGGGCGGTCAAGCCCCAGTACCGGCCACACAAAAACCTCAGTCAAGTTTGAGGACTCAGACCCAGCGAGGACTGGCCCAGCCACCCCCAGACTAGCTGGGTCCACCCAGGAGTAACATTTGTCTCCAGCCTCTGGGGACAGCGCCCGACTGCCACTGCTGACAAAGGAGACCAGAGGCAGCCAAGCTGGCACGGAGCCTGTGCCCGCCCTGCTGTGGGGTCTGGTGGGAGAGGGGGCTGGGAGGAGAGGAGGGAGCAGGACGGGGACTCACAGGACAAGGGAGGGACTGGGATGTGGTGACCAGTTGCCCCTGAATACATGGTGGCCGCCGGCAGGGTGACAAGACATGAAGCATCATGCAGAGCACGCACCCTGGGTGCTTGGCACTGGACATGGCCAGGAAAGGCGCAGTGACCGCTCCTGGCCCGGAGCCCAGGGCGCCACTAGGCGCAGCCCACCTCTGTGCGCCTCCATTACAGTGCCCCCAGGCAAAAATGCGCGTATCTCAGGCTTTCCATTTCAGTCGCTGGGGGTGGCAGAGGAGGCTGGGGCTTTCGGCCAGTGGGCGGCCCCTTCTGAGATGGTGCCAACCAGGGCACGGGAAATTGGGTCTCCAGTGGGGCAGGGCGGCTGGGGCAAGGGATCCAGCGCCAGGAAGCGGGCACCGCAGCCAGCCTGGAAGCATCTAGAAAGGCGAGTGGAGGGGCCTGGCTGGCTGGGCAGTCCACAGGGGCACAGGGCTTGCGTGACATTGCAAGACCCACGTGCCTTGACCAGCACTACAACACAGGTTTTAAGCCAGGTGCTGCTGGCTCACGCCTGTAATCCCAGCTAGGCAGGAGGCTGAGATCTGAGGATGACGGTTTGAAGCCAGCCAGGGCAGGAATGTCCATGAGACTCTTATCTCCAATGAACAGCTAAAAGCCAGAAATGGAACTGTGGCTCAAGTGGTAGAGCATCAGCCTTGAGCAAAAAAGCTCAGGGACAGCAGCACCCTGACCCTGCAGAGTTCGTCTCAATACCAGCACACATACAATTACACACACACACACACACAATATTACTTCTAAGAGTGCACCTGAGGCTTCACTGGGCCCGGGGCAGGGGCTGAACCCCAAAAGCTCTGCAGCCCCCCACAGAGCAGCAGGGAAGCGGGCTCTGGGGTGGGGGGAGTGCAGTGATGGCTTCATTTTTTGTTTTGGTTTGGTTTTTGTTTTGGTTGTGGGGCTTGGAACTCTGGGCCTGGGTGCTATCCCTGAGATCTTCAGCTCAAAGTGAGCATTCTACCTCTTGAGCCACAGTAACACTTCCAGTTCTCTGGAGGTTAATTGGAGATAAAAGTCTCATGAACTTTCCTGCCTGGGCTGGATTTGAACCGTGATCCTCAGATCCCGGCCTCCTGAGTAGCTAGGATTACAGGTGCCTGGCGATGGCTCTGTTTATCTGTGTCTGATTTTCTCCACTCTGCAGAGAACACAGGGCTGGCCCTGTCCTCTGTCCCCTCTTTTGTCATTGTCGCTAGTGGCTATTTGTCGGTCATGGGACCTGAACTCTGGGCCTGGCGCTGTCCCTAAGCTCTTCAGCTCAAGGCGAGCGCTCTACCACTCGAGCCACAGCACCAATTCTGGCTTTTTCTGTTTATGTGATGCTGAGGAATCAAACCCAGGACATCATGCGTGCAAGGCAAGCACTCTACCACTGAGCCACCTTCCCAGTCCTAGCTATGTATTTTTTAGACATAAGGTCTCACTGTGTAGCCCAGACAGACTGGGAACCTGCCATTCCTTCTGCATCAGGCTTCTGAGTGCTGGGATTATACGCGTGCGTCACCACACTTGTCTGGCTGTTCTTTTGACTGCACTTGACTTTGTCACTAGGTGAGTCCAAGTTCAGCATCTAAAGCTCCTGTAGCCCCAGGCAAGCAGAGCGAAGGGCTGGGCAGACCGTCTCTGTTTGCTGCACCAGCCTTTAGATAAAAGCCAACACGCTGCCTGCTGCCAGCTGCCCCTCAGGCAGGGAGAGCAGGGGAGATGGCGCCCCTGTCCAGTCTGTCCCCAGGTCTGCCTGCCCTCTGCCTCCGGGGTCACCAGGCCAGGCCCGGCAGGAGGCGGGGAGCCTCATGCTCAGCTGCCAGCTTATAGAAGGGGCTCTGGAGCCCCAGAGAGGAGAGGGCAGGAGGGCCTGGGTGGGTCTCCAGTTGTCCTGGGTGGTCCCCCAGGTGTAATGGAAGGGGTAGGGCAGGGCTGGGAAGGTGCAGCGGGGGGGGGGGGGGAGGGGGTGCACCAGGCTGTGTAGACCCTACCCACAGCTCAGCAACATGACAACTGGGGTCTCCCACCTCTGGACCATGGTCAGCAGTAGGCATGGCCTGGCTTGCTAGCGGGAGACGCCACCAGGCCCACAGAAAAGGACCCAGGAAGAGCCAGGACTCAAGTTCCCCCTCGCGCCTGCCTATATGCCCACTTTGCAGACTGAGAAACTGCGGCCCAGAGCAGAGGAGTAATGCACGCATGCTCACGGGGCAGGGAAACAGGGTGGCAAGGGTCAGCACCCACGTGGGCAGCGCTGGGCCAGTCAGGAGTGTCCCTGGGGCTGGCAGGGCCACGAAGGTCTGGGGAGGCGGGCACCAGCCCCAGCAACCTGCTCCTGGTGCTCTTCTACAACTTACCCTTTCCTGCTAGCTCCATGTGCCAGTACCAGCCTGGCGTGGCGGCCGAAACATGGTCCATGTTCCCATCACTCCTCCCTGGGCCAACCTGTCTGGCCGCCTCTTTATTAGTCTTGATCACATGGGCAACTAAAAGTACCCCTGGATCACAGGGATCTCGACAATGACTGATGATGGTAGACAGCATAAAGAACAAAAAAAGAAAGCGGAGCACCAGTGCTAACGCCTGTAATCCCGGCTATTCAGGTGAATGAGAGCTGAGAATCATGGTGTGAAATCAAACCCAGGTAGGGAAAAAGAAAAAAATCTGTGAGGCTCTTTATCTCCAATAGACAAGCAAAACAAACAAACAAACAAACAAAAAAGCTGTGGCTCAAGTGGAAGAATGGAAAGCTTAATCAAAGACTAAAAAACGACACCCAGGCCCTGAGTTCAAGCCCCAGGACAGGCACAAA